ATTAATATATATATAATATTATTTGCTTTAACAAGCGATTTATTCAATTTTAGTACAATTTTTCCGTAATTAACTATTTCTACTGTGTTTACATTTAACTAGTAATATTAACTCCGAAGAAATTGAGAAAAAAATAATAATTTAGAATAGAATAATGCAAAATTATGGATTAATTATATGTTATTATTTTCAGTTTATATATTATTATTTTCTATAAATATAAATTTTCGATAAACTTTAACAAATTAAAATGAAACCTGTAAAAGAGTTGTATAATGAACACTTTAGCGCTTTTATGTTATTTGCTGATATCAATGTCTTCTTAATTTTTTGTTATTAAAACTTTTGCAACTTCATAACAATCTGTAGAAGGAATAACAAAACATTTCCAATGCAATGACAAATAAATTTAAAAAGGAAATTGTTTCACATTTTGTGAATAAAAATTAAAATATCACAAATTAAAATAACAACATAATAAAATATCAAGCCTTTGGTTCTTCCAACCAAACAGCCTAGCGATATGACATTTTTCTGAAATGTTAACACTAATTTAGTTGAAGGTACATCAACACATAACATTAAATTATAACTAAACTTGTTAAAAGTGTTTTAAATAAATTTAGTCGTTTAGTTTTTCAGCATTTTTTGCTGACTTTAGTTTTAGCGGATTTTAGAAAATTATGTAATATAGCTATATATATTATTGTTTAAACAATTGTAACGTTTTTACTAAAGATAAAATTAAAAAACAAATTTCTTTTATATTTTCGAAACCATTTAATACATAATTTAAGATTCATTAGAAATTCTAATTTTAATTCATAACAGAAGGTTCAAAATGTCTGACACATTCTGTGCATTCAAATTATTTGGTATAGCTTCTCAACGGAAATTAAATATTCAGAACACGTTAAGAATAGATTCCTAAACGTTTAGATCAACGTAAATGTTATCTAAAATTAATCTAAACCAATTTTAAACCAACAAATGCTCGTTGTGTATGGTCAGAGATGAGAAACAAATCAAGGAGTGAAGGTGGATGTTCAGGGTTGTCAAGAAAACATGTTACAAAGTTAAGTATCTAGGTATGAAATTGAGAAATGCAGAAAATATTAGTCTTAGTGCCAGCAGGATCAGTGGTTTTAGAGCCGAGTCATTCAGTGTGATGATCATTAAAGTCACTAAATACAAAAATACTGGAAGAGGGATAAAGAGAAGAGACATGTTCAATTTGAACAAGAATCTAAATCTAAAAGAATCTAAATCTAAAATAACGCAATCTTGAGAAGAAGGTAAACAATAAAGTATAAAGGAAAGATAATAGAGTGAAAAAGTATTAAGCGTATGCACGTAATAGAATTGTTAGAGGATTTAAATCTAGTATATCAACTAATAAGTGAGTTGATTCGTATACCCCTAAGTAAAGCATTTCATTATTATAGTATTTACAAACTAAAGGTTAGAAAAAAATGTAATATAGATTTACACCTACGCCTGCAAAATAAATTAAAAAGGGGTTCAAGGCTGGTCAGCAGCATTTTACTGCTTAACCATTACTCTTATCTAGAGACATACTTCAAGACAGTATGTGAATGCAGTAACCATTCTCCGATGGTGAGTATTTTTATCGAGACAACAACTCTAGCCTTTACTCAACTGAGTGCCCCAGAGGAGGTTTAGCTGATCGCAATTAACATCTGCTATAGATCGGTTTTATTAATGAGATAATGTCTCTAGTCTCAATTCGTTTACAGGGGATTTTTAAGGCGGAGTTTGTTTCCACAAGCCTTGCCCGAAAAAGCAAACCCAAGAAGCTGCAAGGCGTGGGACAGGAAGATTGTGGTAATATTTAACCTAGTCTGAACTAGGCAAATCGTACACTAACTTTGATTTATGTTCAACCTAAAGGTCAATTTTCACAAATACTAAAAAAGTCCTAAAAATAACAAAATGCTAGCTGACTAACAATTGTTATAAACAAATTTTAATTAAAAAGGTTTTATCAACTTATCTTTTCAAATATTGCTTATAATTAAGTTGGTCAATTAAAAAAAGTATTTTACTAAATGTTGAGAAATGCTATTCTTTTAGTTATACTGAAAAAAATTTTATGATTAACTTTTACTTGATAAAGTTTGCCGTAAATGATTAAGGTTAATAAATTGAGGTTTAAAAACTTTTCAAAAAACTTTATTAATCATAAAGAAATGGAAATGAAATGAACAACTTTACAAGTCATATTCTACAATGTGTTAAGATTTTTACATTTTTAATGATGATATATTGTAATATTTATAATATTGTTTATGTAATATTTATAATATTATATTATGTATATTTGTAATATTTATAATATTATAATAATGTAATAATTTAGGTTCGTTTTGGAGATATACAGAAGGAGTTCATGAGGCTCTATTATATTTTGTATTATATCCAATGGTATATTATGGAGGCTTTATTAAATTTTCATATGTATTTTATACAAAGGAAAAGGCATATCCTAGTAAGTTTTTCAATAATTGAATATGTTTTATAATACCAAATAATAATTTAGTAATAATAATTTCTATTGTATTTGAATTTGTTTTAAACGTTTCCTTAAAAGATTTTTTAAAATACTATATATATATATATATATATATATATATATATATATATATATATATATATATATATATATATATATATATATATATATATATATATATATATATATATATATATATACATATATATATATATATGGTCCACCAAGTTTAAATGATGCTTTAGGACTTTCAGATTCTTGCAGATAGTGGAGAGATCATGCACCCCACATTCTGTCACCTTCCCTCTTGGATCCGAATAAATTTTAAATTGTAAATCTCTTGGATTAACAGTTTAAAAAAATATTCTATTTAAAAGATAAATTTAGTGTGACGTACTTTATGACACATAATGAAAAACTTTGACAAAAACATTGCTTTTGCGAATGGTATAAAATATGCTTTTAAAATTGTTCTCGGTATCAACCAATCGTTGCAATTCAGATGATAATGAAATGTGTGTCTCTCAGTGTTGTACGTGGCATATTTTATAATATCACTGCCTTAGGCACTGAAAATGATGACTCTGCTTAATTGCACTCACCATATTTTCTTTGCTTCACTCCATTTCAGGAATTTGCCACGTATTTTTTCAGTGACTGATTGATCAATGGAATGATTGGAACCATTGACAAAAGTTAATGAAACATCAGTTATTGGTAGCTATTTTATTTGACATGTGTCAAATGTACAACAACCAGATGTTGAAGGAGTTATAACATTGTGAAGATGAGTTCTATATTGAGCCTCTGTTATAGAAGCAATCTTTTTGTTTGAAATCCGGTAAAATCTTGGTGATGATTTTCATCCCCCACCTTATGTTTTAACCATGTTTTCTGTTCAAGAAAATACCTAGATAAATTAAATTGCAGTATAAATATCAAATTAATTTAATAAAGTGGTTCAAATTTACAAGAGCTATAACTATTAATACGTGGTGAAAATCGCATGTTAGTATTTGAAACCTAATCCCAAACAAAGAACTTCGCAGTACTTAATTTACAATGAAGTAAATAAGCATTTAGCTAAGTAATTACAAAAGTATATTAAAGAAGAATAAAAACATTCTTATTATGCATAAAATGAGTTTTGAACCTTTCGAACTTAACGTTTTTGACCTAATGTTTTCTGTTATTTTAATAACTAAAACATTAGTTCTTAAATTGAAAATATATAAAATAACCGTAAATTTAAAACACAAAAAAACATTTCTAAAAAAAAACCAGCATAAAAAGATAAAACTTTAAATGTAAAGTTACACTATAGTACAATAAATACTAAAGCAACTTGTTACTTTAAAAAACAAAACTAATTTTGTGATTAGACAAGTATGACGTTAGATTTGATTTAATAACATCTTTAGGACAATCGTGAGAAATGTGTGGTCTTTACCTAAATGGAGAAAATCGTTCGATATTTGATCATTTACCAGAAATGATTTATTTAAGTTATTTTATAAATATATTAATATACAAATATAAATTATAAAGAATTATATTATCAAAAGTATATAATCAATGTCAAGATTCTGTCATAAAATAGCACAAAAAAAAAAAAAAAAAAAAAAAAAAACTATAAACCTTAATTAAGTATAAAAATAACTATAAACATAACTATATAGTTTGGTGTAAACCACACTCATGCTATATCTTTTTTTGGTACAGTGTAACTTAATGGTGTAGTGTAAATTTTATAGCGTGTGTTATATTTTGCTTACTACGACATATTTCTGTTTAATTATCTCGTTTGTGAATTAAAAATGGACAAAAAATTTTATTAAAAAGAGTAAAGTTTCTCTAAACATTATAATATTTTTAAGACAAAAAAGTTATGACATCGAAAACTCTTATTTGGACTTAATACACAGACAAAATAATTCAAAATAAAAGAACTTGAATAGTTTATAAATCGCCATAACTAGAGTGGAAGCCAGTGCTAAAAACCAGGGATGTTTTTTAAAATTTTTAAAATCCTTACTATTAACAGGGAAGCAATCAATATTATATTTAGAAATTACTAGAGGAAAAAATATGAAGTTTATAGAGCAAGATTACCATAAACACACGATTTAGAAAATTCAAACTATATGAATCAGGAAGACAAGACGAAGAAATCGAACACCATAGAGCTGGTGTTCGAGGAAAAAAAAAGGAGAATAAAAATATTTGGAGCACCTAGGAAAACTCACGGTAAAAGAGTTAAACTTATTTTAATGACGACTAACAGGATAATGAATATTAAAGCACAACACAAAGCTCTTTCGACCAGCGTCAATTATAGCAATTATAGACAAGAGAAAGAGAAACAACATAACAACGATGTGGGAGGTTGACCCCAAGAGCAAGTCCAACTATGTTTACGATGCGTTTTTGCACCTTGTCTAAAAGAGGATATCATTGGAAGACCCGCCCAAGATATCCTCTTTTTGGCAAGGTTTTATGACAATAGAATTTCATACAAGATTTATAAAGTTTATAATTTTTGTCATTAGATGCATTTAGTTCAATACTTTCTTCAGATTCATACAAAACATCATCAGTAATGCAATCCATCTCTTTCTCAACAATTTTATGTGTATTTAACTGCTGTTGCCTTGTTACAAATTTATTTTTTCGTGTTTTAGTAGTGTTTTAAAGTAGATGTACATGTATGATTAAGTGGTCAAGATTAATTTTTGCGTTTATTTTGTCCTACAAACGCATCTAATTCATCAAAATACATCCTAGTCTTTCATTAGCTTTTTAAAAGTACATCTGCATATCTCTCTTTCTACTCCTGCATCGTAACAATTTCAGAAACATTCTTTCAAAATACTGCTTTCGATTTGGCATAAAATTTATCTTTTTGCTTTTAAGTCTAGGAATTTTATTAAAATTGAATGCTTTTTCCATTATTCTACATACTTTTAATAAAATTCCTTCTGTTTCGTTGTTAGAAATCTAAAGTTACGCCATATATTTTCAATTTCTCTAGTAACTAATTAATAAAACTAAAGAATTTGATTCTTCATGCGTACATGAAAACAATGTTGTACAATATATATTTGTGTAGGTATCAAAAATATTGTCGGAAATTTAGAATCTTACCTAATTGTAAAGTTTTTACTATTACTGCGAGTTTAAAATGCAGCCATATATAATTTGGTTTTTATTAATTAAATATTAATTTTAATTACTAAGAAATGAAACATATACATTATAAAACAAAATGTAGAACAAATATAGAAGCTAAAAAAATTCTATAAAATATTATTAAAAACTACTGCAACTAGTATGTGTTGTTCCAAAATAGCATAAATTTTATTATTGTAAAGTAAAATTGTTCAAATTTTTATAGGACGTAATGTTCTTTATTAAAATTATAAAAATAATACATAACTATAAACTTAATAATTAGTGTTACATAAATTAAAAAAAATTATTAAGAGATTTAAATGAAAAAATTAAGAAAATATTATTTTATGCAGAAATTTTGGTGTTTAGTGGAACCCATACAAATGAATGAAAAAAAAAATATATGTTTACATACATATATTTGTATACTTTTTTTTTAATAGTTTATATAATTTATTATATAATCTATTATATATATATATATATATATATATATATATATATATATATATATATATATATATATATATATATATATATATTTATATATATATATATATATATATATATATATATATATATATATATATATATATATATATATATATATATATATATTATATATGTATATATATATATAAATATATATATATATATATATATATATATATATATATATATATATATATATATATATATATATATATATATATATATATACATATATATATATATATATATATATATATGTATATATATATGTATATATATATATATATATATATATATATATATATATATATATATATATGTATATATATATATATATATATAATATATATATATATATATATATATATATATATATATATATTATATATATATATATATATATATATATATATATATGATATATATATATATAATATATATATATATATATATATATATATATATATATATATATATATATATATATATATATATATATATATATATATATATATATATATATATATATATATATATATATATATATATATATATATATATATATATATATATATATATATATAAGGGGGTCGTCGGGGGTGTACCCCCTCCCCCCAAAAGCTGTCATTTATTCATTTAACAATTTGAGTTGGCACATTGAGCTTGAGTTTTGAACTATAGTTGGCAAATTAAAAATATTGACGACTTTTTTTTTTTAGTGTTTCAAGTTGGCAAAAAAAAAACATACTACCCCCCCCCCCCTCCCATATAAAACCTCTATATATATATGTATATATATATATATATATATATATATATATATATATATATATATATATATATATACATATATATATGTATATATATATATATATATACATATATATATATATATATATATATATATATATATATATATATATATATATATATATATATATATATATATATATATATATATATATATATATACATATGTTTAACACACAAATTTGTTTTATTTAACATACTATTTAGTTATTCTATATACAGATGACAGTAAAAACTTTTATAAATATAATGCTGATAGTAAAGTTTCATTCAATGATGGCATGTATTTTATTGAATCATATCTGAATTATAATACAATAATCTCAAATTACAAACCTGATCTCGGTTTTCCTGTAAGACTTATTTAATTAATTTTTTTTATTTCCGTTGTAATACTATTTATTGTTAGTTAAATTATTTGCTCTTTTAACAATTATTTATTACGATAACCATCATATCATTATGATATCAAACCTTTTTAAAATATTATTTATTAAATGTTTTTTTTTTTAGATTTTTGTTAAACAGTTTTTTCCAAAAACTGTACCATATTATGATGTAAGTAATTTTCTTGGCAAAAAATTTTGCTTTTTTTATTTTGTACTTACATTTTATTTTGTAACAGTAACATTTACATTGCAGTATACTTTTGAATATAAAATATGTTGTGCTTTCAAAAAAAAAAAAAAAAAAAAAAAAAAGCGCAGTGAAGTTTTGTTGCTTAGAGCATATTTAAACTTCTTAAGAGAAAATGCTAAAGAAAATATTATTTTTTTTTGTTTTATTTGTAAAAAAAATCTTTTTCAAACAACTTTGGCATATTTGATAGGATTTTAAAACATAAAATTGTTTTTAAAAATGTTATCAAACATAATCACATAAAACTACTCTAACCCTAACCTTTATACATTTGTATAGATTGTATACAAATATAAACAATGTATAAAATAATGTATACATTGTATAAATAATACATTGTATAAAGTATACATTGTAAAAATATGTAATAAAATGTCAAAAATTCTAATAATATATTATGTGTAAAGATATGTAATAAAGTTTATATAATGTATTACAATAGCGTCACTTAAGTTGATTTCACTTCGAGTGGAATAAACCTTTGATGTCACCTCTTTCGACTTTAACTAACAGAGCATTCAACACAGCTTTCAAATTTGAAAAGAAAAGTTTTACACAATGCATATATAGAAATATATATCTAAATAACAAAGTGTATATACATTAACAGACAAAAATACCATCTAAGCATGTATATAAAAATACCATCTAAGCATGTATATAACATTTCCCAAAAACTTTTTTGCAAGCAGCATATCTTTTTTGCATCGAAATTTCAATAAATGTTGCAAATTTTGTTTGGAACTGTTCTCCAAATAGTTTTGATGGTTTTTTCCCAATATAATTTTGAGAATGAAATATAATTCTAAGACTTTTTTTCAAAATTATATCACAATTATATTCTAACTTAGCATCCCCTCTAATTTAAAAAAAAACTAAAAACACAAAAATAAAAGAGTATAATTTATTAAAGTCAGTTTATATTAATATCTAATTGTTTTAACTTTTAAAAATAATACTAATAGCACATATATTAAACTACATAACTATTTCTTTATAAAAAAAACACGAAAAAAGAATATTAACACAGCTTTAATATAATTTAAAACAACCCTTGAAATGCTGAAATGCAAATATTTAGATTAAAATATGCAACCCAGTATTTCCCTTTAAAAAGTACTGGGATTACACGTTGGCTCTCTAACCTCAAACAGATAAATCTGATTCTTGATTTATGACTGCTCACTGCTGCCGATGCCAAATTTAATGCAAAATTTGATAACTTGAATGTGTTATGGAAATCTGGCGTAATCGATGACAGTCGATTTCTCAGTAATGAGCATTTGTATAACGACTGCGTCAGAAAGATCAAACACCAATAGAGGTTTTGTGATTTTATTGTTTTGCCAAATAAGATAGATATACTCAAAACTGTCGTATTTTAGCTCAGAAATAGAAAACTTTCTAATTTTAGTAATTGGCTATAACATTGCTTTTAAAATTCCAAATTGATAAAAACCTAATTCATGAAAACGTTTTTTGCTCATCTGTTTTATTTGCCAGAAAAATGTTTTTATGATGAGCAAAACAGCCATTTTGTTTTATACACTTTCACGTTCCCCACCCTTAACGTAAAAACAACAAGATGGTAAGATATTTTGTAAACAATTCTTAACTAAACTTAAAATCATTGATAAACCTTAACTTACATAACATTATCTCTCAAAGTTCCAAAATTATGACCATAAAAATTTCTTACCTCCACAACTAATTTTTTTAAATATTTTTATAAACGATATATTTTTATTTATTAAAGATACTGAACTTTTCAATTTTGCTGATGACAACACTCTATATGTTTGTGATAACAGTGTAAAAAGAATACTTTCTCGTTTGCAAGCGGAAAATAATAATACCAATGTTTGGTTTAGATAAATTCTATGGTTATAAATCTTGACAAATTCCAACTACTATTAGTTGGTTTAATAAAATATGAAAACTATTTTCTAACAATTAATAACAAAAAAATGTTTGTCTTTGACAAGGTGAAGCTATTTGTGTTTACTGTATAAAAGGATTAAAAGTTCGGTGAACATATAAAATTGTTATGTAGTAAAGCTAAGAAAAGATGTTTTGCTCTAGGTCGCATAAGAAATTTTTTAAAAGTTAAAACGCCATACTATCATTCAACTCTTTTATTTTATCTAATTTCTCATACTGTCCAATAATTTTGATGTTTTATGCTAAACACAACAATATGCTTATTAATAAAGTTCATAAAAAAGCTCTGTGCATAGCACATAAAAGATTTGATTTATTTTTTGAATAATTATTTTAATTAGATAATAGCCCCAGAATTCACGTTGGAAAACTAGGATTTCTTATGATGAAATATATAAGTCTCTCAATAATTTAAATCCACAATTTATGAAAAATATATTTACAATAATAAATCTACCCTATCAACTTCAAAGCTGCTAAAAATTGTTGCTACCCCCCAAAGGCTTTAAGTAAAAAGGTACTAACAGTGTTTTGTATAAAGCCACCTCGCCGTCAACTTCACTAGAAACCATGTCTTCTATCAGTCTAGTGTGTTTCGAAAAAAATATTTAAAAATGGCAAGGAAATAATTGGTTTTTTGTAAAATTTGTTGCTACAAATTTTTTTTAATTTATAAATTTTTTTTAATAAAAAAATTGTGTAATTTTTGTTAAAAATACAAACTGTTATTTTGATTTTGTGCAGGCAAATTATTATTTTTATTTACATGCCTTTTTTAACTATTTGTTTATTTAATAACGATAATTGTTTTGGTGTGTGTTGTACATAAAGTTATATATATATTGATTTTAATTAGTTTATAAAAACTAAACTATCATAACTTATCGACGTTAAATAAGTTTTTAAAATAAAAATTAAATAAAATGAAGTTCAGGGAATCATGTAATCCCGGGAGAGCTATAAAAGTTGCAGAACACTTGTATAAACATGGAACAACAAGGCCTGAAAATAATGGGGGACAGGAGCTAAAAGTAGATAGAATGAAAGCAGCTTCTTCGAGATGAAAGAAACTATAATAAATGAAAAAAATATGATAGAGCAATTGCTGTATAAGAAAGAAGTTCTGAGTATGATCTCCACCATGTTCCTAATAGTACCGCGGTCAATTTGTTTCTGCGCGCAGCAGCCTTGCTAATTAAGGTTTGTGTTGTTTAGTTTTTTTCGGAGTTATATAGTTTTGGATTGTAACCAAAGCTATAGTAGCCTCCTCATCTCTATTTGCCTTTGTGGCCTTGGCCAAGTGAATTGAAATAATAGAATCTGGTGACGTCAGTTAATCAAAAACATATTTTGAATTATATTTTTGCTTTGTAGTGTTATCTTTTCAACGGTTTGTTTTTACTATTACGATTTCTTTGTAAATAATTTATTTATTATACCTGATAACGCTGATCACGATGGATCAAATAATTATATATATATATATATATATATATATATATATAAGTATCTAAATAATTATATATACTTTTTTAAATATATATATATATATATACATATATATATATATATATATATATATATATATATATATATATATATATATATATATATATATATATATATATATATATATATATATATATATATATATATATATATATATATATATATATATATATATATATATATATATATATATATATATATATATATATGATTTTCTGATGAGTCTATGTTGATAAAACACAGTGTAAAATGAAAAAAATTTTTGTTAAGTGATTTTTTACTAATTTATATATATATATATATATATATATATATATATATATATATATATATATATATATATATATATATATATATATATATATATAAAAGTATATATATTTAAAAAAGTATATATAATTATATATACATTTTTAAATATATATCAAAGCAGATAGCTATATCATTTGTAAGGGTTGAATTAAGGCATCGCGAATTGCGACATCTGTGACATTATCTTGTCTTCAAAGTTTCAGTTTATGGAAAACCACGAAATTTACAGAATAGGGGAATAAACTTTAATTTGTTAGTGAAAATGTTATGAAAAACAAAACAATAAATTTATGACAACAAAAGTAATAACGCTACTGTGTTGTTACTTTTATTACACTCTTTTAAGTTACATTTTTAGTTTATTGTTTGATCAAGAAACACATAATCATGCTATGATAAATAAAAATGATTTAGTTAAGCAATTCCAAACTTTAATTAAAGTAGTAATGCATCTAGAAAAAATACAACGGATATTTAAACAATGTTATAAGCCTTTGTAACTTTTAGGAATACATATTTTTATAAACAGTTTAGCATTTCTAAACATCTTTCTAACGGTCCGGAAAAAACGCGCGTTCACTTTAAAAACAACCAATGAAAACACTGGTAATTTACTTCTTAGGAGAAATCTATAATAAAAGGGGAGGGGGGAGCAGGGTATAAACTTAAATTTTATTTTATTATTTAATCAATTAAATCATAATAAAAGTAGAGACAAAAAAATACAATTCTAAATATACTTCTTTATAACTAAAACTTATTAAATTGAACACCACTATTTTTAGTTTTAAGTTAATGTCAGTACTACTTTCAGTGGCGAAACTATACAAACGAAAAAAATTATCTGGAGCAAAGTCTTCCATTGATCCATCTGTATTAACAATATAAGATTTAGAAAGAGAAAACAATAGATCTAACCCTGATGTCTAATTTTTATTTTTATGAATATGTTTTTTTTCTTTTGTAATAACTTTACTTTCTAGAACCTTTAACAATTAAATTTCTTTGGGACGCTCTTTCAAGTCCCTCTGTAATCCAGTGATACGAAGAACTTGCACATATTTTTTAAATGCATGGGTTAATAGCCAGCGCTTTATATTATAAACCACGAACTTTTATAACAAGTTTTTAACAACTTTTAGTTATAAAAAAGTCTATTTTAAAATATATATTTTTATTTTTACTTTTATTACTATTTAATTAACTAAATAGTAAAAAAAAAAATATAGCCCCCTCCCCTTATAACCTCCCCCTTTAATATAGAATTCTCCTGGTAAGTACATTACCAGTGTTTTTATTGGTTGATTTTAAAGTTGCCTCCCCTCCCGCAGTTTCGCCACTGAAAGTAGTACTGACATTTACTTAAAACTAAAAACAGAGGTGTTCAATTTATTAAATTTTAGTTATAAAGGAGTATATTTAGAATTATATTTATTTGTCTTTACTTTTATTATGATTTAAATGATTAAATAATAAAATAAAATTTAAGTTTATACCCTCGTCCCCCCCTCCCCTTTTATTATAGATTTCTCCTAAGATGTAAATTACCAGTGTTTTTATTGGATGATTTTAAAGTGAACGCGCATTTTTTCCGGACCGTTAGAAAGATGTTTAGAAATGCTAAACTGTTTATAAAAATATGTATTCCTAAAAGTTGCTGAGGTTTTTAACATTGTTTAAATATCCGTTGTATTTTTTCTAGATGCATTACTACTTTAATTAAAGTTTGGAATTACTTAACTAAATCATTTTTATTTATAATAGCTTGATTATGTATTGTTTGATCAAACAATAATGTAACTAACTGTAACAAAAAAATGTAACTTAAAAGAGTCTCATAAAAGTAACAACGCTGTAGTATTATTACTTTTGTAGTCATAAATTTATTGTTTTGTTTTTCATAACATTTTCACAAACAAATTAAAGTTTATTCGCCAATTCCGTAATTTCGTGGTTTTCCATAAACTGAAACTTTGAAGACCAGATAACTTCACAGACATCGCAAATCGCAATGCCTTAATTCAACCCTTGCAAATGAGACAGCTATCTGCTTTGATATATATTTAAAAAAGTATATATAGTTATATATACTTTTTTAAATATATATAGTTATATATACTTTTTTAAAAATATATAGTTATATATACTTTTTTAAATATATATATATATATATATATATATATATATATATATATATATATATATATATATATATATATATATATATATATATATATATATATATATATATATATATATATATATATATATATATATATATATATATATATATATATATATATATATATATATATATATATATATATATATATATATATATATATATATATATATATATATATATATATATATATTCCCTCCAACATAATGCGCTGCAAAAAACAAAAAAAACTTTGATGCATAAAATCGACTATTTGATTTGACTAAGATAAATGGGGAGGTTGTTCAATGAGAGTAAGAATCTTTATAAATTGCATATTGAAGCAAGCTTGGTTATTTCACCGGGAAACCAACTTCCAAAAGTAGTATAGGTTCATTGTTAAAAACAAAGACATCAAAAAACAAACAAATATAAAAAAATATGTAAACTTAAAAATAAATAAAGTTAACAAAATGGTAAAGTTTGAAAACAATATATAGAATAGAAACAATGAAAAGTGTTTCAAAATATTGTATAATGATAAAGTTTTCCAGAAAATGCCAAAATTCAAACCAAACATAAAAGTACGATCATAATTATAAAGAAAAAAGAACAAAGATTTTACTAAGAAACTAAAAGAAAAAGTTATATGTTTTGATTTTTTTGATAATGAATGTAATTAAAAGTATTTCTATTGTCGTAAATGTAGACGCACTGGTCGTATATGTTGACGTTTCTATGCTCGGAAAAGAATTGTGATTAGGTTAAGTTAAGATTAGGTAGGTATGCTATAGATTATGGTTAAATAAAAGTTTGAAGATATTATAATATTAAAAAATATTATTCAACGATTTATATCATTATATATATATATATATATATATATATATATATATATATATATATATATATATATATATATATATATATATATATATATATATATATAATGATATAAATCGTTGCATGTCTCTTGCGTAGCATCAAAAAATATTTCCCATAAACTGTAGTTTTAAAGAGCGCGTTAATAAACCAGACCAGAAAAAGTTTTAAAAATTAAATTTTTTTTTTTAATTCATAGACTGCCTGGCCAAACCAAACCCTCAGTCGATGTAGCAGCACTCTCTTGCGAGTCAGGCTATTTGTCAGTCGTTGTAGCAGCACTCCCTTGCGAGTCAGGCTATTTGTCAGTCGATGTAGCAGCATTCCCTTGCGAGTCAGGCTATTTGTCAGTCGATGTAGCAGCACTCCGTTGCGAGTCAGGCTATTTGTCAGTCGATGTAGCAGCACTCTGTTGCGAGTCAGGCTATTTGTCAGTCGATGTAGCAGCACTCCGTTGCGAGTCAGGCTATAAGATAGTCGATGTAGCAACATTTACGCATGTTTAAAAAATGTTTTTTATTAAATCAATAACAAAAACACTACTAATTAAAAAAAACTTTCTAGTCGTTATAATTGCGGTTTTTTAAAAATATTTTAAAAAACAATTAAATTTAATGTACTTCCGCATAAATTAATTGCTTTGACATTTCGATGACAATCAAAAACAGCTTAAGAGACGAGTAATTAAAATTGTAGTCGTAAGAGACTTTTTTTACATTAAAATGCTCTTAAAGCGACACTATATGAGTATATGTATATATATATATATATATATATATATATATATATATATATATATATATATATATATATATATATATATATATATATATATATATATATATATATATATATATATATATATATATATATATATATATATATATATATATATATATATATATATATATATATATATATATATATATATATATATATATATATATATATGTATATATATATATATATATATACATATATATATATATATATATATATATATATATATATATATATATATATATATATATATATATATATATATATATATATATATATATATATATATATATATATATATATATATATATATATATATAATGATATAAAAAGAAGTATTGAATTAAAACTATTCAAATTTCTTTTCTATTTATTTAAAATGCTAAGTTCTCCTTATTAATTGTAGAAGGTGTAACCATGATATTTATTTCGCTATACAGTAGGTCTAACCATGTATTACTCTTTTAAAACTTATTATAAACATTATTTAATATAATACATTTGTATATTCTTTACAAAAAATTTACTAAAAATTTTATTTAAACATAAGAAATAATTTGTTTATCATTTGATATCAAGAAAATACAAAAATGAAATTGGAGTTATATGTTTTTTTAGGTTTTTAAGCATATTTTAATTTATTTTAACTTTATTCAAGGTGTTTTTTAGCGATCAACGCTATACTGATTCATTGGCAATATTAGTAAGTTAGTTTTATTATTAACTTCTACATATTATTTAACTTCTATATTATAGGTTTATTATTTAACTTCTACATATTGTTTAACTTCTACATAATGTTTTCGAAAACATAATTTAGCCGCATGGTTTTCAGTTGCTTTGAGGTTGTTTAATTCTTTTAATTTATGCAACATACAACGGCAGAACTTTCTCTCTCTTTTTTGGATCTTTTTTTTTAAAAAAACTATTTTTCTAAAAGATTGGTTTTGGAATATTTTACTATAATATTAGGATCAGCAAATATTCGTTAAAATTTGAGTTACTAATTTAACTAAAATGGCGATTTTGACTTCGGTGCTATATTTGAAATAGAAATTCAAATTTGGCACCATTAGTAACAAAGGCAAAAGTTTATTTAACTTTCAGTTAAGTTAGAAAGCTAATATTTTTTTTTCAATTAAAAAAGAAAAATAGTTATAAAGTCTGTTACAGGTTTCATCTATATCAACCTGTTTCTCCCCGCAACGGCTTTTTTTTGCAACATTTCGTGTTTCGGAGTTAAAGAGCTAATAGAGGCTTGTAATCACTGTTAAAATTGACATTTCTCAAGGAACGTTCCTAATATTTTTTTGTTCATGATCATTCAAAAACATAAAAAAACAAAACAAAAAAAAAAGCCAAAAACACATTTAGTCAAATTCGATGCAAAAGTCTAAAGTCGTCTCTCATATTAGTTTGAGTTTTTAAAAGTTGACTTAGCAAATCCATAAAACCATTTTAATCTGTAGTATTGAAATTATTTTGAATTATTTTTTACTTAAATTTAAATCTTTATTTTACTTTTTAATATTATACATTTTTTTTATTCTACTATATTGTCTATTCTTTTTTTTCTAATTTTCTTTATTTACTTGTTATTATCTTTTTTTTTCATTTATTTATTTCTCTGCTTTTCTACTATAATTTTGGAACCACTTTCTATAAAAATAATAATAAAGTAAGTTTTATTTGATGAAAAGTGAATAGAGTTAAGAATAGAAGAGAAATAAGGATTGAGCCGTGCAAAAAAAGGATAGAGCCTTTTAGTCAATTGTAAACCATTATATATTTTTCCTCAAAATTACTCACGTGTTTTTTTATTAAGTAGATTACTATTTTGTTAAGTAGATTACTTTTATTAAGTAGATTACTATTTTGTTAAGTAGATTACTATTTTGTTAAGTAGATTACTTTTATCAAGTAGATTACTTTTATTAAGTAGATTACTTTTGTTAAGTAGATTACTTTTATTAAGTAGATTACTTTTGTTAAGAAGATTACTTTTGTTAAGTAGATTACTATTCAGTTAAAAAATCCTAAAACAATACTTAATGGTTTTAACTTTATAATCAGTTTCATTTTTAAGTACATAAGCAAATGTATAATTTTTATTAGGAGAAAATCCAAGAACTTGTCCTTAAAAAATTAATTTTGAATTTATTGTGTAGCTTATACTTTTATTTATTTAAGTAAATTTATGTTCAATGTTATTTAGGTATTACTTAAATTTGCTAATTTACCAACTAATTTACAATCATTTTACTGGATCTCATGCGATGTATCAATAGATGGTAGGAATAATTATAATATATCCTTAACGACAGTAATATACATATAATCATATAGAAACAATATATATACATGAAAATAATATATATATATATATATATATATATATATATATATATATATATATATATATATATATATATATATATATATATAATTTTTATTTTAAAAAAATTCTTTAAACGTTTGTTTGCAATAAACATGTAGGAAATTTTACATGTTTTTTGCAAACAATAGTTTTAACTATTGTAAACAAATGGGTATTGTAAACAATTATTTAGCGAAAATTATATTTAAAGCAAATTACTTAACGCACATAGATTAAGTGTCAAACTCATTCATTCATTGTTTAATAACTAAAAATAATATTTTAAAAAAGTTCTTGTTCACAATACAAGACAGTATTTTTTTTCTTATATTTTGAGGTTTTATTTTTATAAAAATAATTTTTTTTGCCTAGATCTTGATGGGTGTTCGACAGGATGGATTTTGAATCAATATAAAAATGGTTGTGTTGGTAAGTTATTTTATTTAAATTGAGAGGTAGTTTTAATGAGTTGTTTTAACAGTACTTACTTATTTACAATTAGTAAAAATTTTAATTTACAATTAGTAAAAAACTAATTTTTTGCCTAGATACCTGTTATATATTGTTTTCATGGGTGATGAATGCTTGATCTAAATATTGAATCGAGATTTTATATGGTATAAAAAATGAAATTAGTTTTGCAAGATACAAATCATATTTGTTAGATATATTAAATATATAAATTTAATTATCGCTCAAAATAACCGATAATCAATTTTATTCATTTATCTTACCATAAACTTAAAAAAACTACAAATTTATTTACGGTTTTAGAAAAATTAGGTTCGTTATCAATCATATAAGTAAAAAAGTAGACACCTTAATAAAACAAGTAAACATAACAAACAAAAAAACAATAAAAAAAAACCTTAAACGACAAATAAAAAATTGAACAAAAGTAAGAACAATAATATTTAAAAAAATAAGGCAAATAACATAAAATAAAGGGTAGGAGTGAATGAGATGACACGAGAGATAATGAAAAGGACCACTGGTTTTTCTAACTTATCTTAATGATCTGCACAATGCCACAAATTTGAAGACAGTTAGTTTGCTGTTGATACAAATCTTTTTCTGTCCGGTAAATAAATCATTACACTATTTAATGACATTAATATAGAACTAACTAAAATTTCAAATTGGTTTAAGTTAAATAATCTATCAATTAACTTGGAAAAAATTAAATGGACTTTATTTTATTCAAAATCCCAAAAAAAACCTTTATCAAATGATATGCCTCAAACATATATTGACAATGTTCATAAAAAAAAATCAAAAGTTATACATTTTCTTGGTGTTTTTATTGAAGAAAATCTAATATGAAAAAACCATACCAAAATTTTACGTAATAAATTTTTTTCGAAAAAACATTTGAGTAACGTGTAAAGTGAGAAATTTTGTAAACAGACACTTATTAATTCAATTTTATCACTCACTAATCCAATGCTATATAAACTATGCAAATATGGCATGGGGTAGTGTTAAAAAAATTCAATTAGATCCTCTATATTGGCAGCAGAAGGATATAGCATGTCTAATAAGTTTTAAAGATTATTATACTCATGCAAAACTTCTTATATTAAAAATAAATCTTCTTAAAATATACTAGCAAAATGTTTTTAATGTTCTTTTATTTATGTATAAATTTTAGATAAACCCCCTATATCCTTTCAAATTTATATGCAATAGAGCAAAAAAAAAAAAAAAAAATATGACTTAGGAAACGACAATCTTATTTAGTTTAGTTTTTAAGACAATAATTAAAACGATTAAAGCAACAATAATTAAAACGATTAGCAACGACACCACACACACAAAAAAAAACTCCACAGCAGTATAAACACTGCACAAATGCCCATGTCAAAAATAAATTATGTACAAACTTAAACAGCGGTGTATACAAAACATAGAAACACCCTAACATATAAAAATACACTAAAATATATATTGTTATAAACAATACAAACATATAAACACAAAAATAAATAATATGAAGTCGTTACTACTAATCTCAAACACATAATAATAGTGCCTCCATCTAATGCACAATAAAATCTTTCAGTCACAGCAGTTCACAATTTAGTCGTAGAACAAGAAAAATGAAAAGCGTATTGATAGTCTGAAAGTTAGTTATTTGAGTTAAAATGGGATGTTTTAAATTTGTTAATCAAAGACTCAAAGTAAACTAAATGGAAGGTAAATGGAGGGGTCACAATATTCTCCAGAGTTTTTGAAACCACAAATGTTGATTTACAGCAGGCAGAAAAACAAGGTTCAGCATTTATTAAGTAGTTTAGAGAAAATTAAAGAGAGTTTTAGGTAACACTTGTATAACTCTATGACAGAACAGTTGTCTAAACCACAAATTGATGAAGAGTTTAATTTAGATAAGACTTGCGCAACGGAAGGTAAAGTGATTTCAATGTCTAACAATGGGTTAACCTGTTTAACTGAAACGGAAGGAAAAGAATGACCATAAAACTTGAGTCGCATAAGAAAAACTAATTTTTGCAAATAATTCTTTAATATCCTAAGTAGAAGTAATGAGATCAATCCCAAGAACTGAGGATATAATATTAGAACTTCCTTTGTCAATGTCGCTGTTGAAGATTTTCCCAAGTCTCCAGAGCCTAAATTTTGAGATAAGATACATAAATTCTTTCAATAAAAATAAAGTTTTCTTTTCAGAATCTTTTTTGAAAAGATGTAAAGAAATTATTAAGATTAGATTTTGCAGCTGCACGGGAAGATTAAAACCGAGGCGCGGATTGAGATATTACGTTTAATATAGTTAAAAATTGGCATTAGTTACTACCTGATTTCTAAGGTTATTGTGTAAAAATAAAATAAATGTTTTAGTAAAACTGTTAATGATTCTCTTAAATTATTTGACATTCAAAAAACATCGCAGTTAGGCATCTAATAAATAGTTAAATGAGTACAAAAATGATCTTTCTTTTATAAGACTGGCAAAAATGCTGTCTAGATCACAAGCTATGGAAGAGTGTGTTTAAATGAGATTAGTTATTTAGTTTAAAGTACAGCTGCTAGTGTAATTGCAAAATAACTTTAGTCACACAAACAGTTGTAATTTGGATGTTAATAATAAATTCTTGTTTGTTAAGGATGATATGAACTTTGTTCGTGGCTGTTACATTCAAAACGAAAATGTTAAATGTGTTAAATGTTTAAAATTTCTTAGTAAATGTAATAAGATCAGATCAATGTATAAAATGTAAAAAACATTTTATATGACACCTAAAAAAAAAATCAATGGAATGAAGTCATTAAAACGTCTGATCAAGTTAAATATTAGTATCAATTATGTTTAAAAAAAGCAAGACAAACACGGATTTGCGAAGATTTAGCAAAACAGCAATTATCTGAACTACCAAAGAAAGAGAAAACCTTGAGCACAACCTGCAGTCAAATTCAAGACGCAAATCAAGGAATGAAGTTAAGTTAAGGAAGTAAGTTAAGAAATGAAGCTAAGTAATAAGGTTTTTTCCGAAAAAAATGAGACTTCATTTAACTATATGAGAAAGAGATTGAAAAAAGCCAAATTAATAAACTTTAGAGTCAGCAATGTCACAGAAAGAAGATCTAAGCTATTTAGTTTGATGTATAAATAATAACAATACTATTTTCAAAGGATTAAAAAAAGTTCTATGTTAATTTGATCCTAAACAATATCTTAAAGAGAATAATAAACGATAAAAAAGTGGTTTAGTGAAGAGGCTCAAAGAAAAAGGACATAAAAGAATAGTCAGATGATTTACACATATGCTTAAGCATGTGACTGATAGAGTTTTAGGTAATCAATAAATTGATGTGATCAAAACTAAAATCTGAATAACACGAATTTATGTTAAAACAATTTGGTGTAATCAATAGCTGTTTGTTTATCTAGTATTACTTTATTTATATTTCGATAGCAGATATAATAAACTCAACTTTCCTAATATTTGCCAAGAAAAGTAAACTTTACAAGGCATTTAGAGATCAAAGCAATTGTACTAGACTACATGTTATTAATAGCAGAGACTACATGTGAATAGTTGTCAAAACTTCTTGTTGTCATTAGCAGGGGTTATATATCATTAGCATGAGTGTGATCATAATAATTCTAAACCTGTGCATTCAATGTCTCAAAGACATTACTGATAATAGTGAAATGAATGGTCTGACAATAATTAGAAAAGTTATATATATATATATATATATATATATATATATATATATATATATATATATATATATATATATATATATATATATATATATATATATATATATATATATATATATATATATATATATATATATATATATATACAATAATCCTGACAAAGTTCAGAAAATATATTCTCTAAAACTTTCTTTAAAAAAAATGATTTCTAAATTGAATTTTTCTATTTCAATTTTTAACTCAAGATTTCAAACTAACTTTTCTAATTATTGTCCGACCATTTATTTTACTATTATCAGTAATATCTTTGAGACATTAAATGCCCAGGTTTAGAATTATTATGATCACACTCATGCTAATGATATATAACCCCTGCTAATGACAACAAGAAGTTGTGACTACTATTAACATGTAGTCTCTGCTATTAATAACATATAGTCTAGTACAATTGCTTTGATCTCCAAATGCCTTGTAAAGTTAACTTTTCTTGACAAATATTAGGATATATATATATATATATATATATTTATATATATATATATATATATATATATATATATATATATATATATATATATATATATATATATATATATATATATATATATATATATATATATATATATATATATATATATATATATGTATATATATATATATATATATATATATATATATATATATATGTATATATATATATATATATATATATATATATATATATATATATTTATATATATATATATATATATATATATATATATATATATATATATATATATATATATATATATATATCTATCTATCTATATATATATATATATATATATATATATATATATATATATATATATATATATATATATATACAGTGGGTGCTCGTATTATTAGAAACACGACCAAATTTTAAAAACTTTGTGAATAAAGTTCAAAATTAACAAAACATTTTAATAAAATAATTTTTTTTTATTTTACAAATAGTATTTATGCATCTTTTACTTTAATCTGGGAGTTTGGCAACATTGCATTTAATCTCATTATGAAGTTATAGGGTTTTTCCCGAATTTTGACAATTTTGGCAGTTAAACCTGTGTTGTTGTCGCGTAAAGTGCTGTTTGTGTATTGCTCTCTTTTCAAAGTTTTCAAAGATTTTTTTATTGTTTTGTTATTGAGTTCTATTTATGTGTCTATTTTTTTACAGTTAAACATGATTAAATCAATATTTTTCCATATAATTTGACTTCTATAACGGTTTACTAGAATCAAGTATTTTTTTTCAATATGGGAAAGGCAAAAGATGTGTCACCCTCAAAAAAAGGAGAAGTTGGAACATTATTGAAGAATACTTCTTATTCTCAAAGGTGTATAGCATCAATGACAAAGGTTTCAGTGGCAACAGTCAACCGAATAAAAAAATATCTGGAAAAAAATGCTGATTATACTACTCAACGAACAGGACATTGTGGTAGAAAACGGCTAACAACGCCAAGAGACGATAGAAAAATACGAGATATTTCCTTAGAAAATAGGAATAAGTCTAGACGAAGACTAACCAATTTAATACAAGATGCTGGAATACCAGTATCTCCAATGACAGTTCGTCGCCGACTCAAAGAAGAAGGATTTTGATGCTGTCGACCTGCTAAAAAGCCTAAGCTCACTCTAGCAATGCAACAAAAACGCCTAGCTAGGGCTAAAAGTCATCGGCATTTGACCGTCGATGACTGGAAAAATGTAAGTACTTTATTTATAATTGTACAAATTCCATTTAGAGATTTGCCTACATTATAACTTTGACTTATAAGTTTTTTTGATGTTGTTTAGGTATGTTTCTTGGATGAATCGACAATCCAGATATTGATGAACAAATCACAGTTTGTGCGTAGACGAGCTGGAGAAAAATACCACAAAGACTGCATCTTAGAACGTGTAAAACATCCTCTAAGTATAATGATATGGTCTGTCATTAGTAGACATAGAACAGGGCGCTTATATATCGTTGAGGGAACTATGCGCCAGGGCCAATACATAAAATTTCTTGACACAAGATTCCAGTGCTACCATGGCCTGGAAACTCACTAGATTTAAACCCTATTGAAAATCTGTGGGAGATCATGAAAAGGGAAATTGCTTCTGAAATGATCACCAACAAAATACAATTAATTGAAAAGATGATCGAAATGCTATTGAAAACTCTGTATACTTATTTAGTTTCTTAGGCAATTTAAAGAATTTTGATTGGTTTGTTCAAAGGAAATACTTTTCATTTATATATTTTTTAAACTTACAATTAAAATTTACAGGAGTTAGGTTATTTGTAAACTTATACATGAAAATTAAGTGTTGATAAATATTCATCATTTTCATGTCACGCATTAATGGTTTAGTGTGCTCCCTTCTTTTTTTTCCGTATATAATTCTACACGCATGTTTTTGAACACTAAGTATTTTTTTAAGTTTTGTAGTTTGCGTGTTGCCCCATGTAATATTGGCATAACTAATAAAACAATGAATTAAGGAGAAATAAATTAATTTAAGACATATACTATTAACGTAAGGACGAACTCGGTACATCATGCCGATCGTTTTACTAACTTTTGATTGTAAATATTTAATATGGGGAAGCCAAGATAAGTGCTTGTCAACAAGTATCCCTAAGAACTTTATAGAGTCTTCTTGTTTTATTTCTTTATTATTTAAAAAAATATCTGGTAATTTGAGGGGAAGGTTTACTTCTTGCAACTTTTTATAAAATAATCTATACTTTGTTAATTAATAAACTCTGACGGTTTATTAGTTACTGACAAAACATTGTACTTATATAACATGTCAAAAAAAGATTTTGTTTTTGGAAATTTCTGGTATGTTAGTGCGTTCAAATTTATATCACCAAGGATAAATAAATTTTTTTTGTCGTTGTTTGTTTTTAAAATACTTTTTTCGATAAAATCTTGAAATGATCTAATTTTACCACTAGGTGGTCGGTACACACATCCAATTATACTATTTTTGTTTTTAGCATTAATTACTTCAATAAAAAGACTTTCATAATTATTATTTGCTACACTTAATAGCTTTTTTATTTTAAATTAATACTTTTTGAGCACGTAAACACCTATGCCTTCGTCTTTTTTATTGCTTCCTCGTGGTTGGCTAATTAGTTTGTAATTTGCCAAACTATAATTAGAATTCAACTCTAGAGGA